AGATGCTGGCCTATTGCAGGTATATTTTTTCCCTCCTTTTCTTATTTATTTAATTTTGTTTTATTTTATTTTATATTTCGTATTTTTAACATTTTTTCTTTTTAATAGATCGGACGTGGATATTCTTCGCCGCTGTTGCCTGGAGTTTCGAGCCCAGTTTTTGGATGTGGCGGGTGTGGATCCATTCCAGTAAGTTATTTTCTCATTTTTTATACAATAATGATCATGTTTACAGTTATGTTCTTATAGAATAATCATGCTCATGAAGTTGTTTTTTTTTTCTTTTCAGATACGTGACCATTGCGTCAGCCTGTATGGCAACGTATCGGAGTGGCCACATTCAGCCCGAACACGATTGCCATGGTGCCCACACACGGCTACGTCAACTCCAACGAATTACAGCCCTGATTCGATCCGGTGGTTGGACTTTGTTGCTGCTTCGGAAGGCATTGCCATTCAACATGCGTTGAACGGTTCCGGAGAGCACAGAATCGCCGGAATCTCGGTAGACGGTTTCTTCTGCCAAGCAAACACAAACCGTCTATCAGTTTCAGGTAAGAAAATATAACCATTCTTTTCTATGTGATTCTTTTTTAATGATTTTACACTTTTAATGTTAATTTACATGTGGAACACTATTAATATATTTGTATTATTTTAGGGCTGTTTCTTCCACGGGTGTAGTTCGTGCTATGACGGTGATGTCATTCATCCACTAAAAGGAGTTTCCATGGCAACGTTAAGAGAAAAGACAGAAGAGACCACACGAAAACTTCGAGCCCAGGGTTTCCACGTCATAGAAATGTGGGAGCATGAGTTTCAAAGAGAGAAGGAGGAAAATCCAGATCTCCAATCTTTCCTGGATCAACACCATCTGAGGGATCGACTCAATCCTCGAGATTCATTTTTTGGAGGAAGGACCAATGCCCTCAAATTGTTCCACGAGGGAGACGCAAAATATGTGGATTTTACATCACTCTATCCATGGGTTCGTACTTTTTATTATTTCAAAAATGTTTACTTAAACTTTTCTAAATTTTCTGTATATTTTTATGATGTGTTTTTTTTCTGACTTTTTTGTTTTCATTCACAGGTGAACAAGTATTGCGTCTACCCTGTGGGACATCCAACAATCATCACGGAAAGCTTTGGAGATGTGGAAGATTATTTTGGAATTATCCAATGCCGAGTGATTCCTCCACGGAATCTGTATCTTCCGGTACTGCCCTATCGGTGCCGGAAGAAGCTGATGTTCCCCCTGTGTCGGACTTGCGCCCTTCTTCAACTGCAGACTCCGTGTACCCACACAGACGACGAGCGAGCTCTTGTCGGAACGTGGGTAACGGAGGAAGTCAAACTGGCGAAAAAGAAAGGTTACCGCGTCACACATGTAAGTACTTCAAAGATTATTTTAATCTTTATTTAGTTTCAGAGGTTTTTACTTTTAAAAATTTTTTCATAACTGACATTTATTTTTTATTTTCTAGATTTACGAAGTGTACCATTTCCAGGCAATCGTCTACTTCTCTGTTTTCGTTCCTACATTGATCTGTTTCTGAAGATCAAGCAGGAAAGTAGCGGATGGCCTTCGGAGTGTGTGACGGAAGAAGCCAGACTGAAGTACATTCGCCAGTATGAAGAAAGAGAGGGCGTCAAGTTGGAGGCCGAAAAAATATTCCAAAAACCCTGGGCGTCGACAAGTTGGCCCTGAACAGTTTCTGGGGCAGGTAAGATGATTTCTTTTGTACTTAATTTTTATAAATATTTTTAATTCGTTTGTGATTTATGATTGCTTTTTTTCACTCAGATGGGGTATGAACGTGAACAAAGCCCAACTGACCTATGTCCACACGGTGCCAGACTTCAATAAGATGTTGGCGGATTCCTACTAAAAAAGTAAGTTTCCTTACCGATTTTATTCATCTGTAAACTCAATGTGTTTTCAAACTGTTAACTTATGACTATTTTGAACTGTTACCTCTCTCATGACTCTTCTATTTTTTAGATCAAAGATGTCTTTCTTTCTTCCCTTTCTTCCCACGCCTGAGGTGGCTGCCATTTCCTGGGAATCTGCGAAGGAGTTTGTGCCGCAGGATGCCTCGACCAACATTTTCCTAGCGACCTTCACAACAGCTTGGGCTCGTCTCAAGCTGTATAGTGAAATGGAGAAGTTGGGTAGAGATGTCCTGTATCACGACACAGACTCCATCATCTATGCCTCGAATGGCCGCAATGATCCCCCCTTGGGCAACTTCCTGGGAGAATTTACGGATGAACTGGAGGGTGATGTCATCAAAACCTTCGTCTCTGGTAAGGACCTTTAAAAAAATTTCTTTATTTAATATGTACCAAAAATATTGAAAGTTTTTTCTGTTATCTCTTTTTCTCACCATGTTTTATTTATTTTTTTTTTCAGGAGGACCGAAAAACTATGCATACCAGACGGCCACTGGGAAAACCTGCTGCAAAGTCCGAGGATTTTCATTGAACTTTCCGGAATTCCCAGTTGCTGAATTTTGAAGCCATCAAAAGTCTGGTCTGCAGTCCTCGACCAAAAGTGAGATCATCTCTCTCCACAACCCCTCCAAAATCACCCGAGAACCAAAGAAGAAAGGTGATGAATAAACCCGAGAACAAAACTGTACAGAATTGTGTTGGACAAACGGGTGATTCAAAAGACTTGAGCACCTTACCATTTGGTCATTTTAAAAGAAAGACTTTGATGATATTATAATGGTTGTACAAAAAAATGTTTGTATGTAAATATATATACATTATGATACATTAGTATGTGTAAAAGAAAACTTATTTAATAAAAATAAACAGAAGTTTGAATGATAAAATTGGTGTTTTTCTTTTTTTGAAAAGGATTTCATGAAAGGTAAGTTTTTTTAAATTTTTTTTAGAAAATAATGGTTATGATTATGTATATATTTGTTTAATCAAAAAATTATTTTATATATTTAATTAGAAAGAAAAACATAACACAAATAATCAGAATTAACTTTTATTATGAACATTTCATTACAATTTCAGCCATAGTTTCGAAGAGGATTTTCTTTTAGGTCTAGCATACATAGTTTTTACATTCATTAAATGTTTGTTTTTCACAAAGTCTTGAGGAAAGTTGTTAACATTCAGTACATTTTTAAACTGTTCAAAGGCAAAAGGTTTTTGAGTTCTATTTCTCAACAGAAAGTTTATCAACTGAACAATGTCAGAGCCAGAAAACACATGATCATCCAGAATGAGTTCTTTATTCTGTGTCCAGGAAATCTGATGCTCTTTTAGAAAATCTATTATTTTCTGTGCCGTTCTTTTCTTTTCTGTTTCACAGGAACTGTTTGCATAATTTCCTTTTTCTATATCTTTCTCAGAACGTTGTTCAGGCGGTTGTTTTTCGGAAGTGTTCACATGAGGAAATGTAACATACTTTTGCAGAACCTGGATGTACAATTTAGATTTTTCTTTTCTTCATCGTCCATTTTCTTTTTTAAGATGTTTTGAATTTGGGTATCTAAATCACTCAAATGTTCATCTTCAAATTGCTGCATACGATCCAGGGGTACCAGCGCAAATTTCTTACTGTGTTCCATGGATAAGAGGAGGATAAGACACTGACTGCTGCAGGAATCAGGAAAGATAGGAAACCGTCACCTTTTTGAACCAAAAGACGTCTTTTCTTAAAAAGAGGTACTTTTTTGTCCGCTAGTTTTCTTAAAGTTCTTTTAAAAGGGGCGAGTCGATTTTTGACGCGTTTGGTGATGGGTACGTTTCCTTTTAGAAGATTTAAAACACACTCACAAACTGATTTGATGAGATGATTCGGACACTTTTTCAGTACAGCTGCTTTTATTCGACTTTTTCCTAATAGTTTTAGATAATCCACATCCTTCAGATGAGACATGCTGATGACAAATGAGCTCTTTTTCTTGCACACTTTCTTTTATATAGGTAGCAAATGCAGCCGCTTTGGTTAAAGCACAGCAGCATTAAATCCTTTTGCATGAATCGAACATGTTAAAGAACTTTTCTTTTTTAAATTCTCTATCTTAGGACAGTCTAGATTTATGATGTCTCTACATAATAAATTTTCTAAAAATAATTTCTTTTCTAATCCTTTCACGTATATGACAGAATAAATAGATGACAAATATTGCAAAATAATACGAAGATGAGTATAAGGTAAAACACCCTCACTCCAATTCACATGATGACGATTTCTTGTGACCCAAGCAAAACACTTTTGCTGAGATCGTGATAATGTTTTCCAAGGCTGAGGAGGTAAAAATGACCAGCAACTGTGATATCCTTCATGCACGGAGTAAAAAGCTAATTCTTTAACAATGTAACAATGAGGCATCCACTGAAAACCTTCGAAATCGATCACGATGGGAGAAGACATGTTAGCCATTCGACGTCTCAAACTGAAATGAACTATCGGGGCTGGTAGACATAGTATTTATCCCCAGGAAAGATGCCTGTACGAAGGCGAAGCGTTTCACTTCACTTGTTTCAGGTCGTAAATCAATCAACAAGTAGCTAAATGGAGTTGAAGTAGCATCCTGAAAAATTTCTTGAAAGGCCTTTACTTTTCCGGGGAACATTTGTCTAGCTAAATGCATAACTTTGACTTTTATCTCTAGGATTTTTGTATAGGACAAGGTAATGGGAATTTAAATGAATATTTCTCATCTCCTTGCCTTGGTGAAAAAGATTTTGTGTTATAAAAACGACTGAAAGGTTTCGGTGATGACTTCCTTTTGTAAAAAGTTTGCTTAAGCGAGTATCACTTGCTAATTCAGACATTAAATCGTCTATGATAATTAAAGCATTTTGAAGAGTCTGCAGGTTAGATGGTAATCCTTCTTCAAAATTTACGTTTTTCATGGAATTAAAAAGAGGTTGATAACTTCCGTAGCAATAAATAATATTGGTCGGCATGGGATGGAACATTTTATGATCTATCAATTTCTTCACAAAAACCGTTTTACCCGAACCGGTAGGTCCGCTCAGAAGACAAGTAGAAGGATGTACGAACTTGGGCAGTTCCATTTTTGGAAATGACAGCATGTTAAGAAAACACTGACTTTTATACTTTACCGAAAATCCTTTTGCATAAGACATTTATTCATTTTGTTTAAATAAGTGTAGAAACAAGAAACACAAGAGACATTTTTACAAATTAAAACAACTTTATTTTTTAAAAATCATGTTTACACCATATCTTTTTTTGACAAATTGAAATATTTGGAAATCATGATTCTTCCCATCTAAGGGTGATACAATGAGTTCCATACAGAGTCCTTGACAGCGTTTAATAATGAAATAAATACAATAATGTCCACATACATTAGAAGTTAAACTCTGAAGCGAAATCTTGTTCCAGCAAACATGACGATATTTCTTGACAAAGGATGTGATATCTTTTCCATATACAGGGAAAACTTTGAATCGCAGGTATTTTTTCACAAGGAAAAACACCCGCATAATATCTCAAAGAAATAGGATCTCGAGATAAGATTTGATGAATCTGTGTGTGATGAATTCATCAGTTTCCAAAATCGTACAGAATATTTCGAGCTTTATTGATTTCTATCAAATTTTCAAATTCAGCGTACACTAATAACGAAACAGTTTGTTGTAAGGGAGTCCCAAATTTTATTTCTAATCTTAAGTTGCTGTGTCGAACTAGATTTAAATGAGAGCCATCACAAAGGTCAGGTGACAGGTCGAAGCGAAATAAGGAATATCCTTTTGAAAATTCTGATCTTGAAAGGTAAAGTCCTCTGTCGTCTGCATTCATAAATAAATTCTGATAAGCTCGTATGAAATGATTTTTGTCAAAATTAGGCTGAAGAGGATTATGAGGTACCGGTTGCCCGTCCACATAAACGCCGATAAAGTTCATATTATAATGCTTGAATTCAAAAGGAGACTTTTTATAGTTTCCGTTAAAGGCATCATTATCGACACATGCCACCACAATACGATTAGGCATTTGACCTATGAAAATATTGTCTTGAATAAAACTCATATTTCCCGTTGGAATGGAATAGGCTTTGCAGAGCACTCTATTAATGGGATATTTGGCTGTTGATTTTTCTAGGCTTTTGGCATGTCCTAGCACAACACACCTGGACTGACTCTCACTTTGCGTACAAACAATGAAGCTTGTTCGAGTAAAACTTTAAATTCACCTTCGCCCAATAAACAAAATTCAGGTTTGCTGCGTATGAGTTTAATTTTCATATCCACCATATTCAGCAAAAGTCTTTCCTGATGAAACATATCCAAGTGCAATCGGCCAATCATATCGACCGAAGCACTCAGTTTAAACAATTCTGCTCGTTGGTTGAATCCTTCATTCGGCTGAGTGTCTTGAATATCAAAAACGTTCATACGTCCTGCTGTATCTTTGAAAAAACAATTCTGATGACAGTTGAGACGTTTTCGTATCAAAACCATGATTCAATAATTTTTCTATCATGGCTCTGTAAGGATACGTGTTATTACTGGTGGAAACGAGTCTTGGAAACGAGTCTTTCATTTAAGCTAA